ATATATATATATATAGTCTGTAAAATGAAAAGAAAGAAAAAGGCAGAGGGAAAACTAAACAAACATCAAACTTTTTTATGATTATTTTTATATTTGCCCACATCAGAGATGATGTAATGCAGGGTTCCCAACCTTTGGGATGAGGTCCTCACTGAGGTGAGAGGTCAGTCTACCTTTTCTTTCTTTATTAAAATAATCAGAATATTTAGGATCCATGTAATTATTTTATTATTTGGAATAATACAAAAATGTTTTTAATTACAAACATAAATGACAAGACGTTTTGGGAGAAAAAAGATTTAAAGGTTACTGCAAAATGGACTCGAGTTCGAAGTATTCGGGTTACTTTACTCCAGTATTTCCACATGTGTTAATATTTTGTCACCTGTTAGCGGAGGTTAAATGAGTCACGTGAGGCCGCGTCTGTACTTCAGAACCGACTCTGAGGTCCTCGCCTTGAGAGGGAGCCGGCGGGCGATGTGTTTACTGTGACGGCGCTTTAATAAAGAAAGCAGAGACTGTGAAATAACATGGAGTTATTCTTCCACACACGGACGGCTTACATTTCACAGCCTCTGTGCTCACGCCGAGGCCGCCGCCACCGCCTGGAATAACAATCCCACAGCTGGAATAGCCTGAACAGAAATGTTTGTTCTCCCCTAACAAGATTGTGAATTATTAATAGGATCTAAAGCCGATCCCATAACCCGATTGTTGAGGTGGGATTGTTGGCGAGCGCTGCTCCACCACCATTTACTGTGATGTATGTGTCTGCACATCTTTAGATCCAATTTAATGTGATTCAGATAGATTTCAGGGGGACATCATAAAAGGCATCGCGCTGACCCCGGCTGCTCGCTAACGCCCCCACGTACGCCCCGTCCCAATATGTTGATTCAATTTGCTCAGTTTTACGTTTACCCCGACTGATCCATACAAATGCAATGCAGGTACGCTGAGTAAATATGAATACATTTCCAAATTGAATCCAAGAGAGTGTATCGGGCGGCGGACATCATTTTAAATGACGCTGTGCTGGGAAGTGACCACTCACAGGGGTAAATGACTGTTCCCTCTAAGGCTCGCCATTAGCTCGAGTGTAATGCCTTTAAATACATCGTTCTGCCATCTGTTCTGTGCCGCCGCTCTGATGGATGTGATGCAACGAGGTCCGGTCCAGCTCCCGGGGCCGATCGATTCCTGAAGCCGGACTCGCTCCGACCCCACTTTAACACGTACGGTACGACACGCAGCCGGGAAAGGACGTCGGGATATCAGAGCCTCACATGGTATAAAAGAAATCATGGGAACAATATTCTCATGATTTCTGTGGAAAATAAAACGACAACTTCATTTTCTGAGGTTAACTATGAAAAAAGTAAAAGTGTACATAGACGGAGAGTCTACTCATGACACAGTTATTTACATATTATTGGTACGTCATAGCATCATTAGGTATGAAAAAACAGTTGCTGCACAGATCATTATAAGCAGAGGTAAAGTTACTGCTACTCACATCAGTAATGAGTATTTTCATTTTGGGGTTATTTATACTTATTTTATATGGACACACTCAAATTACTGCACACAGTAGTATTTCTACATTTCACAGCATGACAAAACATGAAAAATGTGTTGCTTAACTATTAAAAACCATGTCAATAAACCAAATTTTAAAAAAAAATACAACGTAGAAAAATCAGTCGCGTAGTCCCTCCATGATGTTTTAATGAGGGCAGTTTGAACTTGGATGAGTCTCCCAAACTGGTCCTGTGAGAAAACCCAGAACCCTCACCTGGATCAGGGACATCATCTGGTGAGACTAGGACTTCCCCGGCGAGGCCAGGGTTGGCTCACCCTGAACTAGCTGTAAGGATCGCCCTGCAGGGAAGGTGGAGTGGCCTATTTAGTGGGGAAGGAACATGTCTCCTCTGGAGTTGTCCACAGTGATGCTGGTCCCCTCCACCTTCACTCAGTGACAGGGACACCTGGAGGAGTGTGACTGGGTTAATTGTATTTTTCAGTATGATGGGGTCTTATTTGTGTGGTTGTTTTTGTGGGTTCACTCATTACTGATGTGTCGCTGTTGAAAATATTTTATGTCCGTGGTTATATTTCGTGTCCTCTTTTGGACACAGAGTCCCTTTAAAGATGTTTGGCCTTACTGCATGTTGTTTCTGTAAAATGTTCTTTTGCATCATTTGAAGTAATTTCTCAGGTTTAGTGCCATTTTGGGTCGTTTCTGTACCTCTGTGTGGCTGTTGTGTTGTTGTTGTGTCTGAGTGGTCATTATTAAAATGAAAGTGGGCCGAGAGCAGACCGTGACAGCTTCCTGTGAGTGTCGGCGTTGTCCATTAGGGGGAAATGTAAGACCGAGCCTCTGACGGCACCTCTCATTTGCATACTCTAATGAAACAGGCATTAATTGGTCAGAATTGATTTTTTTCTTGCTGCTGTGATTGAGCTACAATTGAGTCTGAAGTTCTTCAAGTGGATTGATTTGTGGTTAAATTCCAGCTTATTTAGTTTGGGAAATAATGATGTCGTCATGCGTTGATACGGCGGCCGTCGTCCTCGTCCAATCCCCTTCTCCGTGTTTGTTATGTGTACAATCTGCTGTGAGGCTTTGACGGCGCTCGCTGAGTGAGGAGGTGGAGTCACATGAAAAATGTCCTCCGGCAGGGTACATGAAGGTGTGAAATTGCAGACTCCTCTTTGCCCTCGGCCTCATGCCTCAAAAGGTATTTCTTCTTTTATTGACAGTGTGGCTGAACCGCGGGCTGATGGCGGCCGCCGCGGAGCCCACATCCCCCTCTATCCTTGATTGCTTTTGTTTCCAGGTCACCTCCTATCTATTCCTGCAACTTTTCCAATTTCTCAGGGCTTGTTGTATGAAGACAGAAGGCGCTCGCTGGGAAACGCACATAAACCTCCGCAGAGCGCCGACACAAAGGAAACACTTCAAATCTTCCCACTTTCACGCTCAGCGGCGACGCTGGGCCCGTCGACTTCATCAAAGCAATAATCAAATAAATGCCGTGGTTCATTAATATGAAATTATCTTAGCATGAAGATTAATTGCATTAAACTTATGAACGTGTGTTTGCCGTGGATGGCGGCGGTGGAGATGATGGATGATGAGAGCGGCGTGATGAATGGAGAAAGCAGCGGAACTAAATTGAAAGTGTACTCATCCGTTCTTCCCTCACAACTAATGATAAATTGAGCGTGTCACGTCCAACAATACATGTCGAGGTTTAAACATGGCCGCCTGTTCCACACAGGCCAGGCTCCACGGCAGGTAGACGGAGGGGGACGTCCAGCTTCAGATCAGTTTCAGTCCTTTTCCACTTTGACTGCCTGCTTACAAACCGCCATCTTTATTTCCACTGATGAAGACACCACACTCCTGCACCATGTATGCTGTATGTCTTTTTTTAAAAACTGTTCTCCATCATGCTGTCATTTTTTCCATCATTTTAGGTCACTGGGTTTGTTTTTGGCTTATTTTTAAGTCTCTGAGGACATTTCAGAGATTTTGCATGTCTTTATGATCATTTAGTTTCTCTGCATCCCCATTTCTCTGCTTTTGGTCATTATTAGGGCTTTTCGATTCTGTTTGAGTGATTTAGTGTCTTTTCGTAGGCCTTTTAAATGTTAAAAATTGAATTTTCTTTAACGATTTTGAGCCTTTTAATTAATGTTTTTCATAATTTTGTAGTTGATTTGTATGCTTTGGGTAATTTTTAAGACCTTTTGGGTCTGTGCATGTTTTTGTAGTGATGTAGAACCTTTAGGATGCTTTTTTGCATCCTTTTGCCCTCATTTTACACTTTTTGTGTGTGTGTGTGTGTTTTGTTTTGGGTTTTTTTTTGGGGGGGGAGTGTCTACCTTTACTCATCGGTCCCTTTGAAGACCCTTTGTGTCTGTAATTGTTTTCTGTGTTTGGAACTTCTTAGTTTTTTCTTATTTTGTCTCTTTGTGGGATTTTTTCCTATAGTTTGGATCATTTTAGGCCTCGTTTGCTTGTGGATATTTTATTTGAACTGATGACATTACTGCTTCTCTAATTTAACAGAAAGCTCTTTTTTTTGCTTGACTAACCATGTGAATCACCAAAGTTACAGGTACTATCTGATAGTGAAAAAGTTCACATGGTTCATACCTCTCTGTGGAAGTCGATTCAAATAGGTTACTTTACCGTGGGTCGACTTCAGCTCTGCATTTTAATTCCTGGCTAGTTTTAAAGGATTCACAGTTCAAAATAATCGATCTTTATCTTATACTGAATCTCAGTGCAAACTTTCAGTTCATCCTAACCTGAAATGAGCTGTTTTAGCTCCTCCCTCTTAAACTGACTTTCTCCTGACTGGCTGCCCCTGGTAACTGTAAATGGGTGGGGCTTCTGTGCCTTGGGTGACCAAATTAGGGCTATTCGCTCTGTATGACATCATACAAATACAAAAGTAGAAAAAACTAGTGAAGTGTGTCAAAACTGTCATGTATTTAATTTCTTTCTAGTTTTCGCTTTGAAAGTATTGTTATATGATCAGCTCTGCAGCGCCCCCCTCAGGTGGCTCTGTTTCACCTGTATGAGCAAGTCTGACAAACATTTCTGGATCTTTTGTCCTCTGGTAATTCTGCATGTAACTCGACCTTAATCGCCCCCATTTTACTCTCCACTGATCAATAACTTTAATTATTTTTCC